CTTAAACATGACATTCACAAACTTTCAGACACCTGCAAATCCTCCATTATCTTCATCGAAATATCAGCACACAAAAAAAGCAAGTAATGATAAGGGGAAAAAAAGTAATTTGCCAACTTAGGATTAATCCGCGTGAGATATCTTAAAAAACTTGAACTTTAAGACTGATCACATTTTCAAACCGTTCTTAAAACAGTTAATGGTCGTAAGTAGTTTCACTCTTATTTTTTTATCACTGCTACCGTCACCCATCACGAAACACGCTTTGACGATCCGAAACCTTGAAGAAATCAGACTCTTCGTAAGCGGTGTCACACGACTTACAAAAGCCCGGTTTGTTTTACCTTGATACAGGCTTAAGGTGATTCGATGGACGCCATACTTTGTGTCAGAACGGCGTGCGATATATCGCATCAATTGGTTCCACTTTTTCAACTACTCGTCATTTTTCTCGAATTTTGAGATCGCAATTCTGTTATCAGGAGACTAAAGAATTCACCTACCAATTTTGACTGACAAATTCAATGTAATAAATGCGTGGTTTCTTTAAAGGAAAAATATAGCTTTCGATACTGATGTCGAAACTGCACTCGAATGCGATATTTTTCCTCTGAAAAAACCACGCCTGTATCACGTTGAATTTGTTTGTCAAAATTGGTAAACGAATTCTTTTTAGTCTACTGACAACAGAATTGCTATCCCAAATTTCGAGAAAAATGACGAGTTGCTGAAAAAATGAAACTAATCGATGCGATATGTCGCATACCGTTCTGACACGAAATATGGCGTCCATCGAATCACCTTAAGCCATCCTGAAAGATCGAGCCGGTATATCAAGGGGGCAAATACCTGAAGAAACTCGGAATTGAAACAAGGTGGTTTGGTCCATCGATCGAAGATTAGACTAAGTTCGATCATTTTGATCATGATCGTTTTGAAACTTTCACAGGTACGTCAATGGGCGATTAATCGCAAGTCTTGCATGCTATCTGAGGTCGTCTCTGCTAGCGCTATGACACCATTTTCTGCGATTCGAGGTAATTCGAAAAAAAATATCATGCCATTTGCGAGGCGCTCCGATGTGCACATGCGCTCGCTCGCCAATTATTGTCGTGGGTTCATCGCTCATTCGCGCACATTCGTCATGCATTCTACATTGTGCTGGAAAAAAAAAGATAGGTCATACGCGTCGAGCGTATGGTGTTCCACATTTCCCGTGCAAACTGCATCGGAATTTGCAAACTGCACTTTTGGTTCCCGCATGCAATCGAAATTTACTCCCACCAAACTATCGACGACATTCTTGGTGGCTCGTCCGACTTAATCTTTAGTTTTTCCCCCAGTGGAAAATTTATTGATTCGACGAACTAAGTTCTTACGTATGGGTTGATTTCAAATATTAATTTCAGGTATTCGAGTAACTTAATACCGTGTTATCTACCGTGTTGGGAATTTCGTTCTGCAAACCAACAGAAGTGTGCACTGAAAAAAAAGTATGGTAAACTCCACCACACGGAGAAAAAAACTTCGTGCGTGGGACCCGAAGTTTAGGTCATATGGATCTCTGAAGTTTTCGGATGGAGCATCTGAACACTTTAGGTCTAGCTGCTGAGGTTTGGATCACACATCTGAAACTACAGTTCTTACATCTGAAGTACTTCGGTTTTCACATCCGAATAACTTCGGTTCTCACATCTGAAGTACTTCAGATGTAAGAACTGAAGTTTTAGATGTGTGATCCGAACCTCGACAGCTAGACCTAAAGTGTTCAGATGCTCAATCCGAAAACTTCAGAGATCCATATGACCTAAACTTCGGGTCCCCACGCACGAGATTTTTTTCTCCGTGTACAAGTCTACTTGATTTTTTGCTGCGATACAATTTAGTAGAAGTATGGCAGTATTCACTAGAACTCTGCTGATACTTGGAATTATATGGTAAATGTGACCATAGAGCCGGGTGTTTATTACCATGTTCGTATCACTGTGTCAGATTATGGCAAAATCTACCATATTTTTTTTTCAGTGTGGCCAACTTGTTTGGCTCATCATATACGTCACCCGAAGCTCATCATCCACCTGATAGGTATGATGCCGGTTTCTCCCGTATAATTTTCCAAAAGAATGTGTTGAATCCCCAAAAGTAAAAGTTTTCACCTGTCGCCAAGAGGCCAGTGAAGGGGCTCTTGTTCAAGACTTCGGGTTAGACGCTGAAGTAGCGTGAATGACAATCAAATACAAAAATATTTTCGATCATATTCCGCAAAAGAACTAAGGAAATATTAGGGAGATTTGATCATGGGTCACGTAGTAGAATTAAGGAAACCCGGGAGTGCATTCCAGAAGTTTTTACCAAAAAAATAGAGGGGCATAAAAACGGAAAAACCTTAATTAGGGCATAAAACTGGAAAATAAAACCCGCAACCGTAACGCAAGCCCTTATGAACTATTTAACGCACTGGGCAGAACCCTCTCTCCTCCTGGACGAACATACCTAAACTTTGTGTGTTTTTCTGATTCCTCTGTCTCAGACCATCTTTAATTTACCCACCTTGACTCACAATGCCAATCAGTTTGTGATCGTTCATTTTCTTCAAATTACTACACTATTAAAATTATCTTGAAAAATACGTAGATTTATTCAAAAAGTATAACCCTCTGAAAATGATGATTATAAGGAATGATTGTGGAAGGGTATAATGATGATGACCATGAGCCCCCCTCCTCTTCCGTAGGAGCTACTTTGACCTTCTGTTTTATTGTCGATTATTCATTAATTAATTTATAATTATAATTATCTTCTTTATGGATTGTTTAGAAGTCATTGAGGTTCAACTGCCCTCTCCCTTGCAACCTGTGCTGGCTCTATGCTCCTGAAGGGTTTCAAAATACCTTTACGTTTTTCATACATGAAAGTTCGTTTCTCTGGAGGTTAAGCCTCTTAGTAATATCGAACTTTCGATAAGGGCCGACCGGATTTGTTTCTTTTTTTTGGGGGGGGGGGGGGGTGCCCCGCATGTCACCGGCCACCCCTCTCTCCTTGTACCGCCCTTGTTGGTTTGCAGCAAAGACATACAAAGACGGAGCACTCGTATCTACTAGCTAGGGGGAGAAGAGATGCAGTCCTGGCGCTCTGCGTTTGTGTGAGTGTGTAAATAAGCGCGGGAATCCATGGCGGCAAACAGAAATTTGATTTGAACTTGTCCTCTTGATTTTTGCACATTTCTTGCTCTAAACTCTTTTTGAATGCTTAAAAGGACCAAATGAATAAAGTTTGGGGGGGGGGGTGACTTTTTATAATAAATCTACTGCGGCTCGGTAACACGCAAGGATCTCAGATAAAGTTAGTTTTTCTTTTGGTCATGGGGGTCCTGCCAGTTCCTACAGGCCGTTACAGTCCTAGATGACCGTTACTCCCACACGAGATTAATCGGTCAATGACGGACCAAAATTAACCTAAAGTTAACAAAATATACGTGGGTAAGTGAATTTGAGCAAAAATCAACCTAGAATACTTTGTTTACGCAATTTTATTCGGTTCCCGCCCTATATTTGAATTTCAAACTTGTCCCGATTTCGCCGCCAATCTTCCAGCCAATCGGAGAGTTTGCATGAATTTGCATCATTTTTTTCTTCCTGCGCTCCGTCTTAATCTTTGGTTTGCAGTCTCGGCGTGGATTAAAGTTCGGTGAGGTTAGATCGACTAAATCCAAGTTCCGAAGGCCGAAAAACGAATTTGGTGGTTGCACGAGACGCCCACTGCGCTAGACTGCCTGCTGGATGCGGCTGGAATTCCTCCACCCGGCCAGGTCCAGGCCACGATAAATATGAGACGACGGCGACGCGACGGGCATAAGTGTCCGTGTGACGCAAGTCCAAAGAAGGACCCGTGTGCTGAGTAATTTGAGTGTTGCACTATTTCAGACCCGGCGCGCGTCGAGCCGCAGGGTGTCCTCTCACTGCTAGCCTACCGGTTTTCCACTAAAACCCGAATTATGTGGAATTTCTCTTATCGGAAAATTCGGGAGCTTTCTACGAATCGGCAACACGGGTTGTTCGCGTGCATCGGCTAAATATAGCGCCCAACGCTAGCACGCGAGGACCAACTTAGCTCCTCTCGGGTCTCGAACCCGATACCGCTGCACATACGCATACGTATCGCTGATGAAGCAAGCGACCCCAGCCTGAAAGTTTCGGGGACCTGCTGGATGTCTGTCTACCTTTCGAGAGTTGATGGTTCGGTCATGGGTGCTTCGGTTCACGTGAGCTAATGGATGCTCCAGCAGTTCAGCACACCAAAACCAAGTCAACCTATGGATTTTGACCTTCGTAGTGATAACGTTCACAAACGTTCTCAAACTCTCTAACTTTCTCAAAGACAAAAACCGAATAGCAGCGCTAAACTGGAAAAAAACCACATTGGATCTAGAGTCCAGGCTCTTGAAAAAATTGCCAAGAAAAAATACTCTTGATTTAATCAGACTTAAGCTTAAATCAAAAGGAAATCCGCCCAAATTAAGAGGCTCGGTTCTTGATTTAAGCAAAAATCCGATTGTATCAAGATTATTTTTTCTTGTCGATGTTTTTTAGAGTCTGGACTCTAGATCCAATGGGTTTTTTTTCCAGTGTATTTAGTGGTGAATGTCGTCCCTAGACCACATGGAATCACCTTAAGAGGTTCTTTTTCTGAACTAAGACCTGCAGATGACAAAGTACCAAGCGGTGCTTGCAGATCGTCATTTTTCAAAGGACTTCTTACATGTTCCAAAATATTTACGAGGCCTATAAAGGTAGCCCACAAAAAAGAGGCCTCACTACTTTGGAGAAATAGTGTTTCACGCGTAAAATTAGGTTTTTGAGTGGATAAACGAGGAGGCACAGAGACATTTTTGCTGGAAACAAAGTTAAGTGGCGACTTAGATATGAATAACAAATTCAATGATACCATGTTAATGTTTCCTTACACAGAGGAGTAAAGCTGAACTTAGTAGAAAAACTTACCGTTTTCAGAGCATGGTTCCTGAACTCGACGACAGAGTAGCGTTTCAAGGGACTTAGGAAGTCAATGATGTGGTGTGGGACTAGGTTTCTTTCTTCTGGTGTCACTTTGTTTGTTATGATGTCCAGTTTCTTATAAACCTGGTACAACAAAAAATTTAAAAAGACAATCAGAATAAAATAATAACCTACTAACGGTAACACCACTTGGAAAAAACGGGGAGAGGGGGGGAGAGAGGGGGGGGGAGAGAGAAAGAGAGAGATCTGGGGATATCGTTTTGGGCGAACGGGGGAGAACGTTTTGGGAAGAGGGAGGGAGTGAGGAATGGTGTGTTTTTGACGAGAGGGATATCATTCTTTTTTAAGCAATCAACTAAAATCGTGGATTCCTTCAGGGCGAGTAAAAGACTGAATTTAATTCATGAAAAATGCATACATGCTTCAATGCAACAAACAATGCTTCAAAATGCTTTAACAATGGACGCAGGACGCCCCTGGACATACTGAATATTGGCTCGCCAAAAACGAAAACGTGCCACATTTTTACCCTCATCGCGTCCCTTCATAAATGCATATACGTCGCTCCTATACAGCGCACTCTAGCGCTTTGCGACACACAAACCCCATATGTGTCTATCTTCCCAATGGTTACCAAGCAACATAACATCTAGATGCGGACCTTCACATTTCGAACG